TTAAATGTATCAGGAGAAATATTGCAGATGGAAGAGAATACTACAGTTTAATATTTTAGTTCTCAAGTGCTTATTAGAAATTTTAAAAGTTTTAAGATGGGCGTAACATGACATTAATGGAAACCCCAAAATTCTCTTTATTATGATTCGTAACTTAAACTACACGTTCAATTTTACTGTGGTATATTCTTATACCTCAAGGTTAAGGAACCCATGGGACTATGAGTACGTTGGAAAATGTACAAGAGAATGCACATTGTTGTTATCACCGTAATTTGTTGTTACGGGTACATAAGGGTTGGGAAAGAGGACAACATTTGAGTCTTGAAACTTTCTTTGTTTTATGCTCATTGTCTGAGAAGATGCTTATGTGTCAATTATTAAAGAACTTCATTTGGTTGTCTGTTGTTGCATAACAAGTCACCCCAAGTGTAGTGGCGTGGAGAAATTTTATTAGCCAGTAGCTCTACAACCTGAGCTGGACTCAGCTGGGTGGTTCTTCTGCTGGTCTTGCTGCGTTCAGCTTGTAGATTGGCTGGGGGCTGGGCTCAGCGGGGATGCTGGAATGGCTGGAGTTTTTCATCTCTGTTTAGTCTCAGGGAGCCTTTCCATATGATTGCGCCTTCCCCATGTGACCTCTCCCCAAATTCTCTCCAATAGAGTAACTAGAGTTCTTACATTGCCGCTCAGGGCTCCAAGACACAAAAGGAGAAGCTGTCAGGCCTCCTTAATTCTTAGACTTGGAGCTGGCACACTTTTGCCATATGCTTCTGGTTAAGAAGGCAAGTCAGAGGTCCAGCTCGATGCGTGAGTGGGGAACCGCACGAGAGCATGAATGACTGGGTATCAGACAACCACAGCCCTCATGATAGAAAGTGATTATATTTAGAATGTTTCCGAAAGCAAAGTGTACGTGGGGATTACAATATTCAAGTGGTGCATTTTGATGCTGATGAAAGAACAGCATTCAATTTTATTTCAGAATATAAACCTGGAGTTATGCTGTCATTACGCTTTAGGTTATGCAAAGTGAAAAGCTTATGCTACCTAACTTTTGTCTATCCTACTGATTTGAACGTGCATCGTGCTTTAACATCAGTGAAAATAGTATTATATATTCAGAGTCTTTCAGCTG